AAGATTATATATATATATATAAAAAAAATTATATATATATATATATATATATATATATATATATATATATATATGTATATATATATATAATATATATATATAATATATATATATATATATATATAATAATAATAATAATAATAATAATATTATTATTATTATTATTATTATTAATAATAATAATAATAATAATAATAATTATTATTATTATTATTATTATTATTATTATTATTATTATTATTATTATTATTATTAACACGTTTTGGTTTAAGTGAAAAAAATATATAGCTGTTTTTTGTTTCCTGCGTTTTGAAGCAATCTGGAAAATAAAAACTTCAAAGCTGTATTTCCTTTGTTTCACTGGGCTGTTGACAGGAAATTAAGTTCCTTACATGTTTTTCAACCACAATTATAAACAAGGTTTTCATTTCTCATGTTTTGGAATATTTGGAAATACCTATAACTGAAAAGAAAGTTAGACTATTTATCAGCTGCTAAGCTCTTAATGTTTTAGGTACAAACTTCTGTATCATCTTATTATCTATACCAAATAATCACCTAAACACTTCAAATCTATCATCCAAACTTTACATAACGATTATGATGATCATGATGAGCAAGTAGAAGGAGGAACAGCAACAGCAGCTTGACAATCATATATATGTGACACACAATAAAATCCATTCATTGCTGTCTTTGCTTTGAATGCTTATCGGCTTGAAGAGTGAATGAAGAAGGTTTACCGAGGAGTAGCTTAGTCATTTTGTCCCGGTTGGAGTTCCAGTCCCTTCACTGCTGCAGATCTGCAACACCAAAGGAATGAACAACATAAAACATTTAACAAAGCTGTGAACAGAAAGTGTGTAGGTTTTGAAAATGTAATAATAAACAAGGTTTTCTGTTTGTGCGTAAGTCAAAAATCGGTACCGTTCTTCACGAGGAACAAGGCAGAGTCCTGACTTCACTAAAGAGGCTTCTTATTTATATTATTCTTACTAATGACTAATAGAAGGTGGCAAAGTGCAGCTGATAAGAACTCGGCGTGATGGAGAGCTGATGAAATTGATTAATGACCCGACTTCAAGGGCAGACAGGTCAAACATCTGGAAGTCCAGGAAAGTGAGCCGCAGTATCAGGCTGGGAGCAGCGATAGGTGTAATCAGTTTATACAGCATCTCTATAAATGAAATCGATACAAAGAAAGGTGATAAAATAAAAAAAACAGGACTAATAAATAGTTAGATATAACTCTGAGAAGGAAGCTTGCAACTTCCTGCTTGTGTCCCGATGAACTTTGACCCTGGGGCCTTTGGCTTATTATTAAATAATAAGCCAAAGGGGAGCTACAACTAAAGGGGCAGTTCCACATAAACACTGCATTTCTCAAGTCGCTGACTCACTGAACTTTAAAACTACATTACAGCCGACTAAGAAGTTTTACACGTAGAGTTTCACAAAATAACAATTACAGACTTACCAGAGGGTTTTTTTTCTGTTCTTCATGTTTGTAATAACTGAGATAGTGTTATAGACAAAGACAATAAAACTTTATTGTCTTTGTGATGGTTGCATAAGTGCCCACACCCGTAAAGAAAAACTGGAATAACCTTTCAGGATTCAGACGATATGATGTCAAACTTCCTGTCACTTATATTTACCGTGAAAGTTAATTCATTTCTTGGGTTAAATCAGGGGTAAGAGTCAGAGGAAGGGTAGAAAAAAAGATATCATGTACAGTTAGTTCAGGTTATTAAGATTGAATTAGTATGTAATTATTTTTAATTGAATCAATAAGATAATTTCTGACATTTTAAAAAACAAAGTAAAACATGGTAAAAGGAATAAAAAGAAATGTTTTCTATTTCTATTTACATTTTACTTTTAAAAAGTGAGTAAAGATTTAAAAAGTGGGGAAAATTACTTTAATCTTGAGGCGGAACAACTAAAAAATGTATTTCATTTATTTAAGGCTTTGTGATTAATATAATCACTTTTAAAATTTAATACACAATCAGATAAAAATAGTTCTTTCAATTCCAATAAGTCTTGGTTAATGATTAAATCAGTTAATATTTTTGAATGTTGTGGCTTTCCTGTTGTTCAGCAGTCAAATCAGCAGATAAATGTTCATAATAACCTTATATATCCAGGAAATATTATGGTCAAAAAAGTTTAAATTCTCTCGTCATTTTTCTACATCAAACAGCTGAATGAGTTTTTCTTGTGCTTGTCTTTCTCTCTTTGTGTGGTGGCAGATGGCTGGTCAACTTCCTGTTAAAGCAGAGTTTTCCTTTCCACTGTCACCACATGCATGCTCAGTATGATGGCTTGAATCTGTTAATATCAATGGATTGAACTGATTATCTTTCTCTATACAATTTTGATGTGTTTTTTTTTTATTTTTTGGATGTTTTTCAGACATTTGTTGTGAATCAGAAGATAGACAGACAGAGCTGAACTTAATGTTATGAATTCATACGTCACACACTTTGTGTATGGATTTGGGAATCATTGATTTGTTGAAATGGATGATTTATTATTGGTAAACATAGAAAAAAAACATTAGTTTAATTCTCTCTGTTCTTCATGTTGGATATTTTGGTCTTATATGGACATAATTGTGTGTTTGTATAAGAAATCCTTCGGTCATCAAGTAGCAAAAAAACATTTGATTTCCTTTTAGAATTAATATATTTTTAAACTGAACTGAATTCACCAACTTTGTGGGGGCTAGTTGCATTTTATTTGAATAAAATAAAATTTGTTTGAGTCTTTCTATCATCTGTACAACAAAGGCCAGGCAGTGATTTTGATGAGTTGACATAAAAGAAAATAAACACTTTGCTCAAATATAATTCCAATGTGTTTATTTAAAAACAGCTTTACATGAAGCAATCTTCTTGTGCCTTCCATTCAGTTACAATAAAAATAAATAATAATAATAAAAATAAATAATAATAATAAAAATAAATAATAATAATAATAATAATAATAATAATAATAATAAAAAGACCCAAAGGCAAAATAAGCCAGAACTGATTCAAGCCAGGTCTGTTTGGCGAACACTACCATATATGGTCACACATCCTTATGGCTCTGCACTGAACACTGAAGGCATAAAAAAAAAACACTGTACAGAGTATAAAGCACAACGACACACACCGTAAACTACATTCAGTGGTTCTGACAACTGCTGTGTGATGCTTTACATTTGGGAGTGGAAGACAGAGCAGACGTTAGAAGTCGTGTATAAACAGGTTATGTATGTATTTCACTAAGATGAATATAGACTATATATATATATGTCAAGGAAAAAAAATCAGTTTTCTCATTTTTTTCCTGCAAATATAGAAAATGTTTCCCAGGTTTTAACTTCACACCTACTGCTGGAGAAAACCAACAGCAACATTACACCTGCACCACCAACAGCAGCCCTAAGCATCGCTGACTACAGAAAAAGTTTCCTGATACATCACAAACTAACTAACTCAAAGTCATAAAACTGCAACACAAAACATGTTGAAATGATCAAATAAAGCATTTGCATGTACAATCAAGTAGTCTATCATTCAACCACTAGCAAAGTAAACAAGTCTTGTCGTCAAAGCCATTTAAATACAAAGACTTGAAGAGAAACCGGACCCAAGCTTTGCTGACTGCTTCAGGTGAGAGCTTAGTGGTACAAACAGGCTGATCGACAACTTCCTGCCTGTTTATGGACTCGGATCAGAGGCCAGTTGGCACAGAGGACTACCAGTAATAACTGCTGTTTATTCAAATGATAAAATCAGCAAAACGTCTTGGATCATAATTATTTGATTGGACATACAAGACTCAACTGAAGCAGAATTGCAGCTTTAAATTAAAACCAGACAATTTCATATCTGCACTATGCACTGATGTGTTGATAAATAGGCTATAAAAACATTTTCCAGTCAGTTCAGAAGTTACAGAACAGCAACTCTGGGAAATTCCATTCAAGTCAAGTAGTGTCTAAACTGGCAAATTTAAACTTCAGATGAGTCACAAACTTCATGAAATAAAAAAGAAAACCTTTTCAACAATAAACAAACGTTTATGAATTGAAGATCTAAAACATAAAAAGGACTTTGGACTGTTACGTAAAAAGAACAGACAATTTTTAATTTTTGGGGTGGAGGGGGCACAAATGGCCCCCCAGCCACACTTTGGACACCCCTGAACTAAATCCTGCATAACAAATAAAAGATAGTGCAAACACTTTGACAAAAAAATAAATAAATAAATTGTGCAAATAAAAAAAGAGTTCTCGGCAAAACAATAAATATATAAGTAAAAATCAACAGATTGAAATAAATAAGGCAAAAAAATAAATAAATAAACAAATATAACAGCAAGAACCTTTAGAAACAACAGAAGGCGGCGAGTGTTCTGGAGGCTCGGTGGGTTCTGGGAACTGCAGAGGGTCAGACGTGTTGCGTCAGCGCTGGTGGCCTGACCACAGCTCAGTAATACTAACAACTCTATCATCTCTCCCTCTGATTAGCCTTATCGGCAGAAAATGATCAGCAATAAACACATCAAACATGAACGTTTTTTTACACTGCAGGCACATATTCTATCAATGATAAAAGGAGCGGACGTGCTCTGCCGTCTGCTGCGGTTACAACAGAGACAAAAACACAAACAGAGCAAGTCAGCTTAAAGGTCCGTCCGATTGTTGCGGTCAGAGCAAATGGCAGAAAGGACATTTCTTTTTCTAATCTACAGTAACGGGAACTTATGTTGTTTTGAAGGCGTCAACTCTTTTTTTTTTTTTACTTAAAGACAAAAACCTATGTTCTGTATTTTACACTTGCTACTGTGAGCTAATCTGAAATACGAGCACAACAGAAACAAATCATTTTCTTCTGCAGTGCTGAGGCACTAACCTGGCGGCTACAGTGGTTTGTTACACAAAACTCTTTCCTTTTTCATCAGAGTACAAAATTCCGATTTTCTTGGTTTCAGAATGGCCACGATAGTTTTAGAGCTGACCGCCCCAGCTATCTAATTATCCTCCCTAAAATATCCGTGAATGCAGGGTGAAAACTTGTTAACCCCAGAATGCCATGCTTATTAGGGCAAAAAGTAAAAAAATAAATATCCAAAGAAAAACAATGGACAGCATTTTAAAAGCTTCAACTCAACTTTAACCAGATTAAAGCGGGTGCTTAGTCCCTGGTTTTGCAGAGACAATTGAGACCCTCCTCTCTAAAGACGGAGTTGCAGCGAGGAGAGACGAGGGGATGGAGGGAACAACATGCAGCCTTCATTCTGTCGGGTTACGCTGCTCCATGCACGTCCAGGAAAACAGGAAGACAGTGAGACCTGACATGCAGAAAACAACTGCAGCAGATGAAAGGTTTTTTTTATTTCCAAATTAAATGATGTAGATACAGCTGCTCTTGGAGTGAATGTCAGATCACACATCTAGAAGCTAACAATGCTAACCATCCACTCACTCAGTTCTGTTTGCACCTTAAGAGCTGATGTTCATGAAGACCCCAGGAGTGGTAAGTTCTGGTTCCCTCCACTGCACTGAGATGTTAAAACTGTTATTATAAGGAATGAAATCTAAAGTCCACCTGGAGCCTTCGCTTCACTAACAGTAGCAGATGGATCACAGGAGGCTGAGGGCCAAGAGAACCGGGCCAGTGGCCATGTGGAGGAGGGAGCTGGTCAGTGCGGAGGAGGCGTCCTTCTGCACCATCATTCCGGTTCCTGTGAAATGGAGAGAGAGAGCAGCACGGCTCAGTGTAGGTCAGAGTGTTTTTCTGTGTAAGTGGGGCTGATAGGAGGAAAGAATCTCAGCTTTTAGGTTTAAACTGAAGTACTCAGTCTCACACAGATGTTTATGCATTCAATCAACTGTTCTTAAGTTGTTTTTCTTTTTGTATTTTGACTTGCCAAAAGTACAATGGACAAAAATTAGTTAGAAGCTAAA